ATTATCCGGTCAGGTACGTAACGTGCAAGGTGAAAGGGCGTAAGGAAGTTATTCAACCTCTGTATGTTCTTTGAAAATCTATCTTGTATGAAAAATCAGGACCAATTGTTTTAGACAACAGAATTTTTTCGTTTATTGTAATCCCAGATCTATTCTTCGAAGGTGATACTTTAATAAATAAAATGATTCATCCAATTCGGTTCGACAACCGCGCTACACGTCATAAATCTCAAAACTCTACGCAATGAAAGCAATGCACAGATAGAATTATTATCATTTTTAGCAATAAATTAAATTAAATGTAAATTAGTGTAGTAGTAGTAGTAGTACTTTATTCATTTATTGCTCTCCACTTGGTCTCAATCTCCAAGTATTTTGTTCGAGTAAGATAGAAGTCGATTTATCGTTTTAGAAAATTGTTTATTGCTTCTGCAAGGTCATCATTTCTCTGTCATCGGAATCTGATCTCATAAATAGTTTACTCTAATAGCAAAAAAAAAATACGATATTAATCCACGATCAACTCTCTTAAACATGATTTTCAAAAACGTCATCTTGATCAGTAGCCCTGAAAAAAAATTGTAATACCGGCCTCATCTGATCTCTTAAATATTCTCACCTCAAAATATCAAGTCACGATCAGATCTCCTAATACCGGCTTCTAAAAACGACCACTCGGTCTAACAACGATGAAACCGAACGAAGTACGTGAAGTTCACCGAGCATTTAGTTGCGCCTGTTAGCGCCTGAATAATTTTCAAGGATTGACTCATAGTGGAATGAGGTTGAGAACACCAGAAAGAATGCGTTTAATTTGATAAAGTGGATTTCTCTTTGAGAAGAGAATACACGCGATCTCATTCACCTCAGCTCAATTCCATACAATCAACTCTGTTCGCGTTGGTTTGGTTCAACTCGGTTGACAATCCATCCACGGCTTACAGAACTTGTAATAACGTGAGTCAAGCTTCGTTTGATCAGAAAGGAATCTGTTTCTGCCTTCCATTTCAACGTGAAATTATCTCCTTGTCGATATCCGTCTCCTCCTTTCGTGTGGGTACGTTCTTCTCTTGCCAACACAAGACAGCTCATCGCGCCTTCATGGTCGTCTTCTTTGTAAATTCCCTGAAAGCCAATGAAAGCCGAACATCGACAGCCACAGCCACAAAATTCACGAATCAGCACCACTGTCACCGTCGTCAAGATATGGGACAATCGAACGAGATTCGTCGTGGGAGGCATGGCCTTTCTCTTTTTTGTTTCCTGGAGCATGACCATGGGTCGCTTGATAGGAAATAGGTTTTGGGACGCCGAACGGAACATTAGAGAGGTCAATGATAAAATGTCAGATCTCGAAAAAGCATTTGCCGAACACCAAAACAGCTATTACACCACTCGGTTTGGTTTTCTTGTTCCGCATGTATGTTGTTCGATTCTCTGGTGGAATCTCTACTTCTTTCAGTTGATTCCTTCCATCCGCCGCAAGCACAAGCGTCTCCACCGGCTATTGGGCCGCCTCTTGATCCTTTGTATCCTGGCAAATGCTGTGAGTGGAGTCGGGCTTGCCATTTTGGGTCATTCGCCTACTATCAAGCTCTTGTCAATTATACTGTCGTGGGCTACCATTTATTGTGTATATTACACGTGGTACTATGCATCGTTAGCGAAGGATTACGAGAGACATCGCTATTGGGCGATGAGGCTAGTGGGGTACATGCAGATCATTGCGCTACAGCGAGTGTGGATGCCACTACTTCTGGTGTGCTATAGGTTTGGCATTCCGCATTATTCGACTTCGTCGTACACTCTCTACTTGTACCCACCTTATCGCGAGAATGATGTGGAAACCGTCAAACAAATCTTTGACGATTCATTCGTATGTTCCTTTCTATCAGGGCTTTACCTAACCGAATGGTATCTGGCTGGATACTATAGATGGACCGAACCATCATTACCAACAAACAAGAAAGATAAATCACTATGAAAGGAATACACCTGACTGCTAGTACTAGTAGTACTGCTGATGACTACCACTACGAACACTATCCAACATTGAACACAGTACATCTGGCTTCTAATACGACTAGTACTGATAGTAATTGTAAAATCATCTTATGATTGTTCGTATTCGTGAGGATGCTATCAAAAAACGCACTCGCTTTTACTAGGAGTAATAAAAGCCAGCGGACGGTTTGTACAAAAAGAAGGAGTAACGGATAATATCGGACGGTTTGTACAAAAAGCAGTAACAGCAAAGGATATAGCGGCAGTTTGTACAAAAAGAAGTATAAATATATAATTTTAAGGCTCTACAGTCAACATCGTGTAGGGGAATTAACTCAGGGGTAGAGTGGTCGCTTCGCATGCGACAAGTCGGGGGTTCGAATCCCCCATTCTCCACATCTTTTTGGTATTTCTCGGTACTTTTCGTCAAGTTAGTGCCAAACCACAGGGATGTGAGAATCCAACCACTACTACGTAATCACCCCAATCATAATAATGCGCTACTCAACATTTACTATCCCACTTAGGAATAGCAACAAAAACACCAATACTACTACGAGATGAAAATATGCATCACTATCATACTAGCTAGTAGTAACAAGTTTTTGTTCATGTGATTGCAAGACGAAGAACATGATGTTGCCAAAATCAGTGTTGGGACCCTTCTTCTTCTTTGCACATCCTTTTTTGCATGGAACTACTACTAGTACTAGTAGTATACTAGTACAGTGATTTTGCAATTTGCAACCCCACCAAGGTTTACCTTTTTTGAAAGTTATCAAATTCCAACTTTATTTCTGGCTGACAAATTATTGTATTCCCCATTTCCTTATTTTTGTTTGCATCACACTAACTCGTACAACTTCTTTTTTGATTGCTACATCAGCATGCAAGAACCCTTACAAATCCTCATTATTAGTACTTGATTGACACATGATGTCATATTTATAATTTAAATCCTGACCCATCAATTCATTTTCTTTGAAATTAAAGGGAGCAGGGTGGAAGATAAGGTACAATCATACCTACTACTACTACTGTCATTTCATTCTCGCTATTCTTCTCAATGTTCATTTGTATTGTTTTTTTGCACCTACCATTCATGATAACATTAAACCCCTGCCCTTGTTGGTCCTATGATTAAAGTGGTGTGGCTTCATCAACACTTTTATGCTCAAATTTCAGTCAACAAGAAAAAAGGATGGTGTGAGTTATGATTGGGATTGGGATCAAAATATCCCTTCTTTGTTGCCTGTATCAACAAAAACCCTCTGTGGGTACCTGCAGTACCAACAAAAACTATTGTGGGTTTTTGTTGCCTGTAACAACAACAAAAACCAGTGTGGGTTACAATGGTGAGTAGTATCAGGATAACCCTTCCTCATTGCCTGTATCAACAAAAAATTGTGTGGGGTTCTGTGAAACTATCCAATTGTTGGTTCCACATACTGGATTTTTGTATGGGTAAGAAGTATTGGTTGAGAAGTAATGGAAGGCACCCTACTGGCTTGTTGTCATCCAAAATGTTGGAATGGAACCAAATCACTAGCAATGTCCAAAACCATGAGAAGGAGGTATCTGCAAAAACCAACCACTCAAATCAATAGAGCACTGTTCAATGATGGCTTCCAAATACTGGATTTGCTGTTGGGTGAGTTTTGATTGAAAAGGTATACAAAATGCAGGTTTTTTGGCTTGGAAAATGGATAGCATTGAACCAAATCACTGGAACATTGGAAACCATAGGAAGGAGGCATTCCCTTCTACTAGTAAGAAAACCAAGAAGCTGGATCAAAAGTAGAGTGCTATCCAGTTGTGGTTTCTGTGTACTGGTTCAGGAATTAATTGGGTAACAACTTGGCAAAATATTACAAAATCCAGTCCCTGGCCCACCATATCCCAAATAGCTCTCCAAGTAATCAGCCATAGCTTTAGTCGTAGATCTATGATTGCCAGAGGTTCATGAGCTAGTACCAATTCATGTGCTAGAGTCACTCTTTTTCATTTTGTGGATTCTAGTAATGGGATGTACTGTGTGCAAGATTGGCCAAACAGTGCAAAACCCAGTCCCATGAATTGCCATAATAGTGCAATAAAACCCAGTCTCACACAAATATTTTCTGGAATGGTTGTCCAGCTATTTCACCAATTGTTGTTTGTTACTAGTAATTGTTATATACTGGAAGGGAATATAGGGGTAAGATGTATGTGCTGCAATCACACTAATTCCATGTTTTGAAGATTTTCCTTTTCATTGTTGACACCATCTTCATACTACGCTTGTTATTCTAATTGTACTAAACTAGCTGCTACTAGTAACTAGTAGTAATACATTCTGTAGCTATTACTACTACTATTAGTAGTACGGCATTTTTTGCTTGGGATTTCTTTAACAACAAATTGCTCATCTGTTAGGAATAAGAATGCTACTAGTATTTCTGAATAAAAGAAGCAGCAGACTCACAGTTAAAGGGTGAGCTTTCCAATTTGGCTTAAAACTTACTAGTAACAATAGAGAGCTTTCCAATTCATTCCAATACCATTGTTCATCAATAATACAATGCATAGAGGGAGGTCCTAATGATCAAGGAGTTTTTCTTCTTTATCAAAAGATATCATTAGTAATGATGGTGGGTGGTGATATCAAGAATACTAGCCACCTTCAATAGAACCATTCATATCACAAATGCACAGTGCTAGTAGCAACAGGAGGATTACAGGTAGCAGCAGGAAGGCCACTGTTATGTGATAGTACTTGTTTGCTCATATGTTGTTCTTTTATGATGATATTTTCTTGTTTCTTGAACATTTACTAAAGAGAAGAAATACTGACTAGTAAAAATAAATAGTAAGAGTGACAAACAGAAAAGAATTTAGTTTCCTGCATTTCATTATTGTCTAAAATAGGATATTGATAAACAAAATTTTGAGAGAAAATATATGTTGTAAATTCCTTTAGAACTACTAGCACTAGCTACTAGTAAACTCTTTCCCCCTATCATGTGGTGATGTCCTCAAATAAGTCTCTTGTTTGTCTGCTGGTTTCTTCCAAGAACAATGATCATGATATGACAAAAAATCATCTATACAAGTGCTGTACCAAGGAACAAGGCAGAAAAGTGACATGCATAGTATTGTTATGGGGGCATAGTATTGTTATGGTAATCAAAACAATGGTGGCTGTGTACTAGTAAGGTCAGGGCTATTCTGGTGGAAGGAAAAAAAGAACAAGAATGGTACCACAATACTGTAGTACTGTGATGCAGGTGAGTCTGAATTGATGCTATGATTTTAGAAGAACCTGAGATAATGTTTGTTGCTGTTTGCATAGTACCAGATTCTCTTGCATTCGAACTACTAGTTTATCTATTACTACTATGCACATAAGACTGCATGTGTGCACATACTAGCAATAGTACTATAGGATGAGCAAAACCTCCAGAATTATGAGATGTGCTGCAAAGAAGCTGCTTAAAAGTAAAAATAATGGAAAGTATTACTAGGATTAGTGCTATTTGTAGAGAAGAGCAAGAGGAATGACATACATTTTCTATAATTTCTTAGTAGTAGATGTGAGAAAAAAGACATGCTGGTTTAACAATGCTGGACTGAGTGAAAGAATCAGTCCAGGGACAACTAGAACACACCAAGTACCAGTAGCAGAGGAGGGTATTTTAAGCATTACTACTTGAAATTTCTTTCTTTCTTATTTAGTACCACCAGCAGCTCCTATTCAATCAACACATATTATTTTACTAGTATCACCACGATCAGTATGTTGATGGCAATGTTGCTCTGTACCTGAAGGAGGAAAATCAAGAAAAAGAAATCAACAAAGATTCAATAATTAGTAGTTAGTAGCAACTAGTACTGCTATCAACAAAAAGGAAGATAGTAGCTACTACTATTACTTCAGTTGTACTAATACTCCTCCTCCTCAACCTGTCAGGCTTTTTAGCAATTTCTTGAAGTATTGACAAAAATTGTTTCATGCAGCAGCAGGCAAGAATGGTCAGCACCTTCTTGAAGAATATATTCTTTCTAGTGGTACTAGTAGAAGTTGATTTCTGGACTGAAATTCATAGTAGTTCCATGAGGATGATTTAGCACCCTGGTATTTCTTGTGCTAAAACACACATTGCTTATTTACTTTTATCCAAGAAGAAGTGAAAAAAGTATGTATGAGTACAAAAATTAGAATGTCAAACACTTCTTCTCACAGCCAACTCAGTTCCCAAACTACTACACCTACTAGAGCAACAAATGTCAATTGTATTACTTTTTGTTTCTTTGTGGTTGAATACTGGAATTGTCTTTCAAGAGGAGATTGTTGATTTTTTCAATTGAAATGAAGTTTTACAAAGTCATAATTGGCTAAAACTGGTCCCATCTTACTACTAACACTAGTACACCTATTGGGTGGCTGTCATGAATGAGGTGTTCCTTCAGTGCCAAAAAGAAAAACTAAATTGATCTACTTCTGCCAAAAACTGAGGTGCAAAAAAAGTAAGGTGCACATTAGGGTCATTGCAACAAGCAAAATAATTTACTTCTCCTTCTTCTCACTACTAATATTATTACTAGTAGTACCACCAGGACAAGAATCACCAGGAGCGTAGCCATTGCTCCAATGAATAAGAAAAGGAGGAGCAACAGCAAGAAGATGTCACCAGGAGGAGCAAATGGCATGAACAGGCAGGAACCAAGAGAGTGTTAAAGAGAATGAATTCTTTTGTGTTCCTTCGCTCATTTGAATTTGGTAGTAGAGGTGATGCCAACAATGCTGTAGTAGCAAAAAGTTCAATTTACTACTAGTACTCTTCTTGTCTCCTGGTTGTGTCTTTACTACTAGTAGCTGTTTATGTTGTGCCAGCAGTTTGCACCTATTTGCATCTTGCTTTCATGACCCCTTGCCTTTTCAGATGTAGTAATGCTGGTACCAGTAGTGGGGGAAGCTCCTTCTTTCTTTCTTGTTGGCTGTGGCTGGTGCTTGCAAAATGTGGGTTGTTTTTGTTCTGCTGAAAGTGGTGGATGATCATGATTTTGCAAGTGCTGATGTGTTTCAAGTTGAAAGATAAGTGGTTTTGTACTAACTGCTACTAACCCACATACTGCAAAGGTATGAAAAAATGAATGCTTTCTATTATTTATTTTTCCTTTGCAACATTTATAAATAGATTTTTCCACCCTCTCATCATCGGAAGCTTCGGCTTTGTTAGTTTAGTGGTAAAATATCTGCCTTCCAAGCAGATGTCCTGGGTTCGATTCCCAGACAAAGCAATTTTTAGCTCTGTGGTATATTTTTACTTTTACTCTTTCACAACTAATTCCGCCGACCTCAGTATACCTTCGTTACACACTCAAAATAGATTGAAAACGACAAACGATGTATGTACATATTTACTTTTACTTGAAAGCCATCAAGTTAATCTTTCGTAATCTACTTGTAGCCAATGAAGCGTCTTTTCCATAATTGGTTTTGTTCGGAGGAAGCCACTGGCAGAGGGGGGATGGCAAAGGTACAAATCTTCGTGTTTCGCTCACAATCCAGAAGCGTTGGAATGACGAGCTTGGGAAACAAATGACTCTCCATCGATCGCACTGGTTCCCTCGAATCTCCATTAGCAACAGATGTTTCAATGAAGATGGCGAATCTGCTTGAGTCATTGCTGTGACAGTCGCATCTCAAAAGCAGGATATACCTTGGCAATTGCTTGGAAAACCCTTCGTTGGAACGGCTCCATAATCATAGTAGATGAATGTGAACGAAACGAGTTAAAGCATTGTCGAGGACCTCGATTTTTGTTTCCCTGCGATTTTTTGTCTCAATGAGACTATGCCACACCATGCATGAATCGAACACGACTCGTTTTCTGTTGTCTATCGCCCGCCATGGCACTGTCTCGTTTATCGTTTCCCTGCGGCGCAAAAAGCCCTCACTCTCGATGCGGTCATGTTTTTCATCCGTCCGTTGGGCAGTCATTTCGCCTGCCGGAGTGCTTCGAATGCAATGTCCAGAAACCGATCGATCTCTTTCTGGCATCTTTGCTTCCGGGTGGTAACTTCTGCCTCTGTACCTTGCGGCGGTGACGACAGCAACCCGGCGATCGACCACACGTGCTCGCGGAGCATGAGGCTCAAAGGAAACCGTCCCGCCGAACAGAGGCACTCGATGGAGGTCCCTTCCAGATCCCCCCCAAAGCCCATTCCGTTGGACAGGGCATCGCGCAGGAAGCAGAAAGGATCGTCGCTTTCCAATTCATCGGTTTTCAGTTTTCCGAGCACGTCTTCCACCGTGGAAAGCTGCGGTGGGAGGGGTTCGCTGCCTCTATTGTCCCGAGGCATTGCGGGCGGCAAAGGCCCTTTTCCACTCGMGGAGTCGTCGCGAGGCTTGGTCGCAAACATCACATCGGTGCGGAGGACGTACTTGGTTCCCCAGACCAGGGGTCGGCCGCGGTGGAACAGATCGTGTTCGAACAAGACCACCGATCCGGCCCGGGGGACGATCGTCCTTCCTCCGGATGCGTCGTGCTGCGACAAAAACTCCGTTTCCCCCCCGGAAAAATCGGCATTGGTATCTCCATCGCCTCCTATTTCCGTTTCCCCGCCACCGCCGTTAAGGTACAGTAGGACCGTCAGGTAGCTCGTCCGGGGCGACGGCTCGAAGAGCTCCGTTGTTGCGTCGAAGTGGGCCAGGAACTCGTCCCGGTCGGTGGCGTCGTATTTCAGGACCCGCAGCCGTGGGTTGAGCCCCACCGGTGGCCCACCCAGGGACTCGCGGTGGACAAAGTGCTGGAGGGCTTTCCACAGGGGGGGATCGGTGGTGGTGGATTCTCCGGCGCGTGGTTTCACCAACAGGGGCCCCAACCGGTTCCAGAGGGTTTCGACCCAGGAAGCGTGGCGAAAGACGGCCAGCTTGTGCGGATTCGGGCGTTCCAGCGCGACCTCGAACTTGGTTTCGCCGTCCGGGGCGGTGTGGACCGCATGGGTCACGTAGCGAAAGGACGACGACGGCGACGACGACGACGAAGGTTCCGGCCCGCAGGGATCTCCGTTGGCTCCCAGATTCGCGCTCGCCTTTGGATTCGAATGCGCCGCCACCGAGATGAGCCTCCGGCATTCTTCTGGGGACAGGACGTTCGGGATCTCGTACGCAAAGCAATCCCCGGGGGGATAGTATTTTCGAGACACTCCTTCGGTGGGAGGCAGATCGATTCTCCGGTGGACAGCGTTGCCCGATGGGAGCGGCCCGGCGTCTGGTTCTTTGTCGTTCTCGACATCGTTTTCTACGTCGTCTTCCATGACCATTCCGGCCAGGGACGACAGACCTAGGACATCGCAGAGGGCCCGATCGCTGCTGCAGGTGCTGGTGTCGTCATCGTCGTCGTCACTGGAACAGTTGCGGTCCCCGCTGCCGGGCTTCTGGTCGGGCGTGGTTGTGTCTGTACACGTCGAAGTGGTGTCTGTGGTGGATGAAGAATGCGTTGCCGCCTCCTCTTTCTCCAGATCGGTGTTGTCGGTGTTATTGTCCTTTTCGTCGTCCATTGTAGCGTCTTCTTTGCACCATGCTCCCAACAATCGCGCCCCCCTGGATTGGCAAACTCGCACCATACCGGTAGGGTTTGGAGCGGAGCGTGAGTTCAAAAGAACAACAAGTTTCGTTTGTGAGGCTAAATTGTCCAAATCCGAACTGACTACTGTACATGCTCGTACGCTACATTACGTTCGTTTCAGTACTGGGTGCTATGGAACCTATGAACGGGAAAATTTGAAATTTGACTGGTGACGACGAAAAATGAGAAATTGCTTGCTGAAATGGTACAGTACTTGGTACGGTTACGATTCGTAATAACGATTATGACGTAGCTTTTGGTAGAACGCCGTACGTACGGTAGTACGGTACGTAATCTAGAACGGTAGACTGTTGTCCATGCAGTCAAGTTTCTCGGACTTCGATTCCCCTTATTGGATGCCATGCCACCGAGAATCAAAGCAGTCGTGATTCGTTCGGGATTCAATGGGTAACAAATGGAGATGAGAAGGCTAGTTCCTCGTACGGTACTTACGTTTGGTCCCTTTAGATGCTATTGGATGCCCAGAGTTTGTAGCATGTTGTACAGTGAACACTAGGTAGTAATATTAGCTGCTATGGATTGCAGATCCTGGTTTTGAATGGATCCGGCTAAGCCAGAGAATATCTAAGTTGCTCGACTCTGGCACGGGGTGCCTTCTCATTTCGTGTCGGCTGCCGAGGGAATGGTCCAAATGCAGTTTCGTACCAGTAGAACAAAGGAAGCAATCTGTCGCTGCAACCGATGGATTGATAGTGCTCTATTGTAAATCCCCTGTTTATGGTTTGATTCATTATATCTTTATTTTGCATCCTACTTGGGTTCGTACTGTAGTACAGTAATATTTTTTATTCTAGAATTGAACTGCTGCCTACTGCGGAGAGGTACGGTATCCGCATCACCGGAGAAGCAACACGATCGTTGATGCGGCACGGACAAATCGTGCGAGTGGGCACGCCCGTAGAGGCGGACGGGCATTTTGCGCGGGAGGAGGAATCCCCGTGCCAACATCGCCTCGCCTCGCATCGCATCGCATTGCATTGCATACCGTACCATACCATCGCATCAAACCGCCGCTGTTGCGGCGGCGGAAGCCCCCCGTTTCGACGCCGCGGTTTGCGTCGCGCGCGGCGTCACCCTCATGGGCAGGCCGTCTTCGGGCTGCTGGACGACGGCCATGATCGACGGGACGACCTCGTAGTCCTCGTCGACCAGGTCGAAGACCAGCCTCCGGGCCAGGCAGGCCAGCAGGACGACGGTTTCCTCGACCGCCAGGTTCTTTCCGACGCAGTTGCGGGCCCCCGCCGCAAAGGCGCAAAAGGCTTCGCGGTTCGCCGGTGGAACGGACCCGGAATCGCCGTCGCCCGTTTTCGGTTGCGGCGCTCGGGTTTCCCCGGTGGGCCTGCGGTCGTCCTCGGGCCGCACCTCCCACCTGCTCTTGGGGTGTTTGTCGCCGTCGCCGTTGTTGCGGTGCCCTGCCGTTCGCCGGACCCATCGCTCCGGAATCATGTCGTTGGGACGGGGGTAGTTCATCTCGGATCGCTGTATGCTCCATATGGGCAGCATGACCATTTGCCCCTCCTGCAGTGTCACGCTGCCCCCGCCTATCGTGGTAGGTTTCTCGATGGTCCGCGCCGTCGAGGGCACCGACGGAAACAGGCGGAGCGATTCGAGGACCACCGCCTTGGTGTAGGGCAGCTCGTCCGGCCCGGGGGGCAGCGTCCCGTTCGGTTGGTCTCTCTCGTAGTACGCCCCCAGGACGGCGTCCACCTCCTCCAGGAGCTTTCTCTTCTTGGCCGGGTTCTTGGCCAGGAGGTACAGCGCGTAGGAGAGGCAGATGGAGGTGGTATCGTAGCCACCGAACAGCAGCGTCATGACGATGTCCCCCAGGGCCTCATCGTGGGCACTGTCCCGGATGGGGGTTCCCCCGGGGTCGGCCTTGGTCGTTTCGGCGTCCGCCACGGAGATGAGGTTCGATAGAAGATCGTGCTGGCGGGAAGACGACGACGACGACGACCTGTCGCCCCCCTCCGTCGTGGAGGCGATCCGCTTGCGGGCCAGCGAGATTTGGTCCTGGATAAAGACCCGGATGGTATCCCTCTGCCTCTTATAATTCCGGTTGGCCTCCGTTGGGATCTCGTACAGAAAGGTCAGGGGGTCCCACGGCCGCTTGAGGCGGTGGGTAAACTCCGTGGTGAGGTGCTCGAATGCGGACGCCAGGGGGGACATCTCCAGGTTGCGTGTGCACCCAAAGTCGACCCCGTTCGATCGCAAGGCGACCGCTCCGAAGACATCGATCGTGGCCATCTTCATGAGGGGCAGGACCTTTCGGACGTTGGAGTCTTGTCCGTCCGAGATCTGGTTCACGTGGGGGGAGGAAATCCGGATAGAGGTCTCTCCGAATTCGTCGTCGCTGATGATACTCTCGTCTTCCGTGGTGCCGGTGTTGGCATTCCCGCTAGCATCCGACACCGTTGTTTTTGTTACCGGTGTGAAGCCCTTCCGCCTGCGCTTCCGCTGCTTCGCGTTCTTGCGGTGGTGCTCCTCGGCGAGAGAATCCGCCAGTGTGTCTGCGATCTTGTAGATATAGGGCCTCGATTGCCTCACGACCTCCGCCGTGAAGGACTTGTGCACCGCGTTCCGGTAGCACCGCCATTCCTTTTTCATGAGGGCCAGGATCGTCCTCGATCCGAGGAACTGGCGCGTGTGTTTGGTGACGAGCCACAACTGCTTGCGATAGCTGCTGGAGCGCATGACCTTCGCGGCGTCCGCCCCCTTCAGAAGGGAGACCGTAGGGATATTGAAGAACCAGAAGGAGCCCATGCCCGTTTTGGGATCGCAGTGGTCCATGTAGACCTTCTCGTAGCCGCGGACAAAGCCACCCTCGGTGGTCCGGAGAGTCATGAGGTGCCCTGCGATCCAGTGGGCCCCGGGGCTGGATGGGAATCCGGGGACGACCTCCTTCCGGTTCAGCTTCTCCGTGAGGTCCTTCTTTGCCCTGCGGTAGAGCCAGGTCCCGAGGGCGAGGAAGAGGAGGCACCGGAGCAGCAGGAGGTGTGGCCGTGCTTTTGGAAATTCGTCGTTGGGATCGCGATCGTAATCATAATGGTATGCACACGAGCGGGCTGCTTCGGCGAGGGGCGACGAAGGCATCGTTCCTTCGTGGTCGATGCTATACTCCCTGGCGCACTCCATCCTGTTCTCTCTTCGGAAGGTTCAGATCGGGTTGTCAAATTGAATCGAATCGAATCGAAGGAAATCGGGCGTGGTAAATCAATTCTCACAAAGAAAGGTACGAAATGTGCGATGATGGACTGACTGACTGAATGAATGTCGCATCTGTTTTTTCTTATGTTGATTATAACGATTCAACGTTTAACTAACCATGAGTGTGATGCATTGATATTGTATGTTTTGTTGTGTTGTTGGTGGCAGGCAGCATGGATGCCAGTTAGTCACTGTATCACTTAGTGATACAGTTGAACGATGTTCCGCTCTCTGTTTTTGTGTTTGTGTATTCGCCATGGCACTAACATTGGAAACAAGAGATTCTTCTCACCGGTGATTTTTGGTCGTCAACAGTCACACAGCTACGTACAGGACGCGAACACACTGGAACATGATTTTTCCTAGTACCTTCAATTCAGTGTTCGTACGTACCGTACGAATGTTGCTTCATGAATGCGAGACTAATCTGATCCCGCGAACTCTCTAAGATGTGTTTCAGGAGACAAGACCATCCAAGATATACATAGAAGAACAGGAAACCAAGAGACAATATAATGAATTCAAGTTAGGTTTGGTTAAGTCTGGTGTTCTACATTCCGGGATACCTAATAAAGTATGATGTCAGAAAGAATTGCCCCAGATGACCTGAAAGTCGAAATGAATGTAGTACGCCAACTCAATTCGTTTAGTACAGTCTAGAATCGATAGAACATCGTTCTGTTGTACGTGCCTGATATAACAACTATCACTAAAATCAGAGTGCCTTAAGTAGAAATGTGAAACAGTATGTTTGGGACCGATTTTATCGGGTGCTTCATATAGTTTAACTCCTTGACAAAACACTGTAGCAGCAACACTTATTACTCCCGGAAAGTGTTGGAGAACGGAGAACCCAACTCTTGAGCATGGTCGCCGATGACCACCAGTTTCAGTCAGCGAAGGTCCGTACCGTATGGTATTGGGTCATTCCCGTTAGTCTAGATGGTCTACTTTTTGGAAGACAGACAGACAAAAAATAGACCATCTACTAGTCTTAATTTTTAGACTTTCTGTCAACCCTCCACTCCCGGCCTTACAGAAAGTCTAAATCTAGACCAGAATCCAAGAATGAAAATCCATCGCATGACTCATTATTATCCAATAAAAATTTACTAGTAGTTAGATTCCAAATTCCTTCGAGACAAGAAAGAGCGCCTAAAAAATGTCTGTTGGGCCCCTGTTTTTAATGATTCCCATTAAACTAAAAAGTCTAAAAGGTCTACTTTAGATTTTTAGACCATCTAGACTAACGGGAATGACCCATTAACACTCATGAATAGTTTTATTTAATCCCAAATTGAATATGATTGAATATGACTGTGTAGAACGCGTAGAATCAGTAATACAAAGTGGAAATGAGCATGCGCATGATTAAAAATTATTTTCACACATAAAATTACACATACTATTAACACAGCAAATGAAATTTTGACAATGGTACAGTGCACCTCTTTCAAACAAGAAATGACCGTACAGGAACCTTCTCAATAACTAAGATAAGAATACTGTGATAAAGCTCTCACTCCTGGCTTTCTATAGCTGTTGGTGGCGTCTTTGAATGACTGGCAGAACCCTTTCAACTGGTAAAATGAAAATCATATGCGTAAATCAGGTCTCTTTATGTAGCTATAGCAAGTACATCAGAAACATTGACTATATTCAATCTACATGATTGAATAAAAGTATAATAGATCTGTTAAGTGCAAAATGAAGCATTCCAATTGCCCAAATAATGACCTTATTTTGGTAGTAAAGGAGCAAAAGGGACATTTAATTGGGGATGGAGGAAGTATGCCAAATAATAGTCGCGCGCAGGTACCAGATAATTTGTAATAAAATTATCCCTAAAATTAACAATTTTTGACCCCTCACTACCTCCGCAGACTAGTTATAAGCTGACAAAGAATCCTTAAGCATCCCAATGACCTGGATCTTTAAGTAATTGTATCATCTTGGTCTGGGCGCTTAGTCTGGTGGTCTAAAGTTGTTTTTTGATAGAGTTCTGGCCTATTTTCTAACCAGCAGCTGGTCTCCATTGGCCAAATTTGGCCATACCAGCTGTTAATGGAGAACCAGGTCCCCCTTGGCCCCTAATCGTGTAACAATGACACACAGCACTCTTCTTAACACTATGACTGAGCATATCCCCAAAGGGGTTCTCATTTAGCTGGTTCTTGAGTACTTTTAATGGCCTCATAAACACTTTTTGTGGTCAAAAAGTGACTGAAAACTTGTAGATCTATGTTGGATCAGTACTAAATACTGGGCTTCAAAATTAACCATGATTTTACTAGTAATAATTTTGGCATTTGAGTAGAATGCCTTTTTTCTATGTAGGGCGTGGTAGACTTTATATCAAATTAACTGGTAATCAACAAGTAATCAAGGTCAAGGTCAAATCAAACAGTAATCTAATTTTCATGTGGAATTCACTGTAGATTCTTCTCCTAGGTCAACCTAGTAATCAACAGGAGGGCTGAGGATGAGACCCTCCCATTGATTACTCTAGTAACTCACTGAAGTTGTGTCTGAATCCGAGGGATGAGGAATGAAGACACAACTGAAGATGAGTTACTTCAAGCGCTTAAGGCTAATTGACTCAACAATTGTTGATGTAATAGACTAGTTGCTCAGTTTTTGCCCAGTAATTGATCACGCTTCACTTGCCAGCAGACAAACTACAAGAGTTGCCCCCTCCGACCCTGAATCGATATGGAGCCGCTGATACCATACAATACAAAAATATTGCTTCTTCGATGCAAAAACTCAATTAAATAATCATTCTGGTACAAATTTGACGTAGAATTCTATGGAAAAATTGGGAATCAAGGCACTGTACTGCAAGTTTTTGCTGTTTTTTCTGTTAATCGTTGTGTACTACTGTAGCAGTTAGCGCATTGATTAAATAGCAGTACGTACTATCAATTGAAAATAGCAATTGATTTTGATTACTCATAGGTGCAGGCAATTGGTCTAAAAAAGTAACCAACTTGATTACCAAATTTGATGCCAACAGCTGTCAGTAGGGTTTCTACGGCTGCTTTTCTAATTACCATTGTGATTAATAATTTTGTCGAGTAAAGAAGCACCCTGTCGAGGTGCGACAGATATTGCAAAAAACCAACTCGTGTTTCTTAGTGACTAATTACTCAATTTTTTTGGTAACCCACAGTAATTGGTGAAACAAAATCAATATCCACACACTGCTATTAACACTATCAAGTAAGAAATTGAAATCAAAATCAACTCCAAGAAGAACAGATTTCTCCTAGGCGTTCACTACTACTGCCTTGAGAATTGTTTTGAGAATTCCAATCATCAAAATAAAATCTATATCTGTAGTACACTACTATTAACATGGAAAAAATCAAAATTGAAATGGATTCGACAAACAGATTTCTTGAAGGAACACTTAAAACAAACATACTAAATAGCCTACTACTGGGGTGCTCTCCTCTAAGGCACTAACTACTGGAAGCTGCTCTTACACTTCAGCAACTTCACCAACTACAGGATCAGCACCACCACCAACTAATCTTTTGACTCCCTCCAGTACCTCAATAGGCATATTGGAAGCAACTCTCTCTTCTTCAGTCAAGTTATCTCATCCTCTTTCAGTTTCTGCAGGAAAGTCTCATCAGTATCAGTACAAGACGAAGCTGATGGAGGGGTGGGATCATTCTTCACCTTCATCCACATATCTAACAGCTTGTCTTTCTTTGCAGGAATTTTCTTTTACTGCTTCCACCACTGGCATAAAACCTCCAGAGTAGTAGAAACTGGGAGGGACTTTGCATCTTCCTTCTTCTTAACATCTTTTCCCTTGGCATCAAAATTCTCAATCAAACCAAGAGCTTTGCTGCTCAAAGATTCTATTGATCCATAAGCCTTAGAAGGAAGTCCTCCAGCCTGGCTTCCATTACCATCAAGCGTTAGGCCAGACTCATCCAGATTGATGATCTGGTTCAGTGGACCAGCAAAAAAAACAAGCTCACCTCCACAGATTTCATCATCCTGCTTCAGTCTGGCAAAGCATTTTGCAACAAGTTTATGTTTCAGTTTGTGAAACCACATGTTAACATTATTATATGTAGTCTCAAATTGTAACCTTTAAGTGCCCAGCAAATGCCAGAAGCCCTTTACATAATCGTTTAGCAAACATGGGGGGGCACTACTAAGCAAGTCTTCAACATTACAATGAAACCTTCATGGCAAGGAATGCATCTTTTCCTTTTCCTCGCAAGCCAAAGCAGCAAAAGATGATATGACACCTCCCAGTGCAACTATAATATACTGCAGAAGCAATCTCTTACGTCCCTTTCAAGGAGCCCTGAGGTTATCCTTCAACAAGTGTTACTTGTTGCACTGTGTTTGCCTTCAGCAATGTGTTGTACAGTAAATTAACCTGAGATACAATACTGACAACAGAGGACTGGCAGTTAGGTGGCAAATTTTCTTGCTTGTACCTGACTTTCTTTGCGATAGCATTGTAAGCATCTTCATGAGCCTGTTTCTGTAGAAACTTGTTCAGTGTCTTGATATCAGCTTGTTTAGTACTAGGAGTATCAGGATTCTCTTTTAGAAGGACTGGTGCAAGCGCTCCCATCTTCAGACTGCTGTCATCCTTGCTCTTTGCTGGTGCTACCACGACTGCTGCTGTTGGATTGGTGAGAACTGATATTTTTGCTTCCAACTCCTCCTCCACCTTTAGCCCTGATAGGTTTGCAAGCTCTTGTTCCAAGCTGATTACTACGTCACAAAAAGTGTTCCCGACCCCTCACATCCCATAGCGTCCCTTTTTTTT